GTTTATATTACAACAAATATAAATGTCATGTACTTCTCTTCCCCCCTTTCAGCTTAACAAGTGTTCTGAACTACAAGAAACATGGATGGTATCAGGAAGGTAAGGTCTTCCCAGGGGACTACTGACATAGTGGGATTACTTCTTTTACCTCCCCAGCACTGACAAGTGCGCTTCTATAAGCAATGTTCTGCTCTTAAATCATCTAATTTATGCTTTAATAATTCAGAGGTTTCAGAAGATATTTGCCCAAGAAATATTTACTGTAGATGCTGACCTAAAAAGTAAGAAACACAAAACCCCATTAAAAAAAACAAGGAAAGAAGTATTTTCAACTCCAAAGTTATGAATGGGAAGTAAACAGGTATGTCACTTCAGATGTACTGCATAAGTACGTATGAATGATACAAATATGTACCTACACAGACAACAAACATTTTCATATTTGTTGAACATTTCTGAACTGAATGTTCAAGTGTATGCAAAAGCAGTTTAATCTGCCCTTTTCCCCTTCCTCTTTCACTCTGGGCTGAGTTCACAGTCCTCCTGACCTGCAGGTACCAGTCTTCATCTGACCCCACAGAAAGCATATTTTAGCCTGTTCAGCCACAGGAAAAGTGCTTACGACTTTTTAGTATGGTTTGTTATCTGTGGACTTGACAAGCAGCAACAGCTCACAGAAGTGATACAGACCAGAGGATGGAGACTTTAACCTGGGGGTGAGGGAAAAGGTACTGCAAGACAGATTTTGCTGCTTTATCCTGCCAGGGATCCTCAGAAGAGGGGATTTTTTCTGTGTCAAATGTGTGTTTGCAGTTCTGCGCTTGCACGGTTTAACTCTGTTTTTCCCCATTATAATTTTTCTCAGTTGATCCATACTTGCGAAGAAGTACATTTGTGCATTGTACAGCTGTACATTTATAGATTTCATTATGGTTCTATGCTGTGTTTCAAATAAAGGTGAAATGTGACGGATATTACCAAGTAGTTCTCAAAATTGTTCTGTTACTTTCCTTCTATTACTATTTCACAGGGTTTTTTTCCTTTCTCTTCTTTCAAAATCCAATAGGACAATCAGTGTGTAAAGTTAGTATTGCTGAAATGAACATTTCTATGATGCTTCTTGTTATAGCAAAAGTTTTCTCTCCACTGATGTTTTCTACTAAGCAAGCAGAGACAAACAAACCCAGTTTTTAAACTGCACCATGTAAAAATCAATCAAGAAGACAATAATGCTTCTGATGTTTTGAAAATGAAATCATACATATCTGGAATTATTGTGTACTTACGGTATACACAGAACCATTTCTCTTAACTTTCAATAGCTTCCCCCTCCTCAGCCCTTACAGCATTTTTACCTTAGAGTGGTTCTGTTAACATCCTTCATGTACTGGGAAATTTATCAAGGTGAGATCATATACAAGCATCATTCATTATGTTGCTTTAAGTAAGGGGATATAATCTACCACTCAAAATATTTTATCCTCAAATAATTCTGGCTCCTAAGTATCTTGTGAAAATGCAGTCCACTAAAACTAAAGGGGAAGTACTGGAATCATGCAACATCTTGCAAAATTGTCAGAGAAAAACTGGGACAGGAGGAAGTTACCTTGAATTCTCTAATGACTGTCGTCACTTTTAACGCAAGGCTCTCCATAAGAGACTTCATTTTTAAATACTAAGAAGCTCACTCACGGGAGAGATCTCTTCATTTGGACCATGCCTCTATGTTCCTCCAAGAGTCCATGTTCATTCAATCACAGCACAGCTATGGCAGAAATGGGGACTTATTTTCCTTTGGGAATCTGTCTAATTCTATGTCTGCTTAAAGTCATCTGCCACTCACAAACCTATGTGGTGATACTCTAAATTTTTGAAAAAAATGCCATCCTTTTAAAAAACACACAGTCAAAGAATCTTATCTTATGATTTAATAAGTGTCTTATGACTTCATTGGTCATTCAGAATTATTATCAGAATGTATCCAAATAGAAATTTCAGAATAAGAACACCATCATGTTCTAAATGAATGACAAATAATTATAATTACCACCTACTGCCCACAAAGGATGATCCCATCCAATGTATTCATTCCCAGGGGACAGGGTCACAAGCACCTCAACAAAAGTTAAAAAAGTTAGCCTAGATGTTAAATACTAGACTTTTCCCACAGTTAATGGAAGCAGCTACCAAGATATTATATCCTTGCAATCCTAAATTTGTACATGTTAAACAGTTCATATGTCTGTATCTTGCCCTCTCCTAAATGATCACTTCCAAATTCAAAGAGATTTAATACCTTTTGAAAGACTTCAGACTACCTCTTAAATTCAGTTATTGTCTACACCTATGCTGACATCTGAGAAAGGGTCAGACAGACAGATTTCTCCCAGAGACATTGCCTGCACCGCAGCACGCCGCAAAATTATTCTGTATTTAGTTCTTTAAATTGATTATTTAAACTACATTAAATCCTTGGTAGTCATAATTCATTTGGAAGGGAGCTAAGTTCAACCAAATCAAGGCAATTTTTATTCAGAATGAACATCTATATAAGGACTTAATTAGGTTAAATAATCCACTTTAAATTCGTTTTTACAGATTAATTCTCCTGAACTTGACCATGTAAATAAGCTTCCAGTGAATTAAATGTAGTTTCAGTAAATTATTACCACAAACTGATTCAGTTTCAAACAGGGACTGTGTTTTGGTATGTATTTTCTTGTTAACTTTTGACTATCAGGAAATCTCACTCAGAAGACATAGCACTAATCCATTTAAATATCACTCGTAAACTAGATGGTTTTTTGGGTTTTTTTAATGAAGAGGTATTATTTTTAAGGGATTAGTTATCTAAAACAATATTTTAGAAGAACCATCACAAACAAAGGAAGTCGGTAAGTTTTTGCAGCTGATACTAATTTTTTTTTCCTTTTGTTCTGTAAAATGTTATCTACACAATAAATGAGGAACATTATTGGACAGCACTGCAAAGCAAAGGCCTTATTGCAGTTCATCCTTACCTTGTTAAAGTAGCAAAAAGCCAGACCCAAAAGAAAAAAAAACTTAAACCCAGCATATCTCAATAGAGGCATTTTGAACATGATACTTTAAATTAATTTAATTTAAACTGAGTGTGCTAATATATGGAGAAATCCATAAATATATATATTTTTAAAAATCCACAGTTAATTTCCTTAGAAATAAGCAAGGATGGTGGATGCTACTGAGAAGAGGGGGAAAAAAAAAAAGTAAAAGTAAAGGAATGAGATTGAAAGGTTCCTCATGTATTTAAGAATTGTCTCTTTGTCTGCATGGGAGCATGATAACCTCACTCTTTTGGAAGCAGACAAGGGTAATGAATGTGGCCTCAATGTCCAGTTCTATTGTAGCTTTCTAAGTTTAATTGAAGGCAATTACTGAACCTCACTCTCCCAACATGTAAACTGTGGCTAACTACTGAATTCCTTTACAAAGTACTCTCAGATTTATGGTTGAAAAGCATTTAAGAGAGAGAATACTGTATTATTATTATTGTTTTAGTAATAAGGATGAAACACTGACACAATGATATAACCCACAGATATGTGTTCAAATTTCTAGCACAGGAAAAATAATGTACAACAATAAAAAAGTGCAAACTAATATATTTAAAATAAAAGCCTAAAATCATAAAACCTCGTACCTGTCTGAAAAGCAATGAATCTAATACTTCTTCTAGATTTCAACAAAATGCATAACAGAAAAACTTAAAAGGGAAAGGGACCAGGGGGTTAAGGAAATTATGTTCCCATCACATGAATGGATGATAAATATATTAATACTACAGCATTCACCTCCAACTGACTGCTTGGAAACTGATGAAACATTATAAACACAAAGGTCATTGTAGCCAAGAAATGAGGTGGATTCCCAAGACGGAGTCACTAAACGCAAAAAAAGCCTCAGTAGTGAAATAAAGAGCTGTAACATAAAACTTCTCTCAAAATAATTGTCTTTGTTGCTGAGCTGGCTTTATTCAAACCAAACTACAGGCAGAATTACGTGTATGGGACAAAGGCTAGGACACTTAATGACATCAGCATCTGTGAGGAGAGAGTTCATCTCACTTTTCATCCTCCACCATCCGAAAACAACTGTCAGACAAGGAAAATAAAATAATTAATCTGAACTTGAATTAAGAAGTTAGGAGTAGTATAATGTGTATTATTACAGGTTTAGTGCTATGAGCACAGTCAGTAATTTCTAATGTCAAAGTCATAAGAGGATCTTTTTTTTATATATATATATATATATATAATATATATATACCCAACAGAGCAGAGGTCTCCTTGGCTTACAATAATAGATTTTTGGAGCTGATTCCTTAAATTTTAAAGCTGTGAAAAAAGTGCTTTCCACATTACTTTATTCTACATTATTCTATTTTTGTTTTTCTTTATCTTAAAGAAACATTAACATCCTTATACTAATACTGTGAAACACAAATTTCTTTGTGAAGAAAGACAGGCTATCATCACCATGGTCCCTAGTCCATCAGCATCCATCATTACTTTTTGCATTACTTGATGATTGAAGACTCTGAGGGAAGGGGATACAGGCAGGAAGGTGGGAGTAAATACACAGTTATGGTTTTGTTTCAAATTTATACTAAAATTAATTTCCCTGTTCTCCTGGCCCATATCCACATGTCTTCTCTAGAGCAGAGGTGTGATTTAGCCTAGTTTACCCTCCATCTGACCTACACAGTTTATGTCTGAAGCTCAGTAGGAACAATCTTTAGCAGCATTGCAATTACTGACATACACCCATAATATTTCTGCAATAAAAGCATATTCTGCTATTTTCTCCTCCAGTAATTCAAAACAGTCTATTCCTCTTTCTAAGCATGTGTGCCACAATCCTTTGTCTAATCTATGACCTGGGTACATTTCAAAAAAATATGCCAGTTTCATCCCTTTTTCATGTCACTCAAAAGTGGAATATTTCTCTTTTTTTTTAACATGTTTTCCCCTAAGCAGAAATCACTGAAGTTAACTGACACAACCTATAGCTTGTCACACAAAGTAGAGGAAAAAGCATGAAGGGACCTGTGGTGAAAACAACAGGTCTATGTGAAACACAATATAAGAGGCTGACACTGAAAACTGGATAACATTCATGTTTGCCAGTTGCAAACAGAGAAGGAGAGAGATAAGTCTAAGGATGATAACTTAAAATACACTTAAACCTTTAATTTAGCTTCTTCAAAGACCAAAGGTTAAAAGTAAGTTTGACACCTTGTTCTATTGCCTGTTCTCACCCTCAGGCAATAAATGAACCAATGAAATATAATAATGGGTCCCTCTGAGCCATGACATTGCATCCTGTCAATTACATATCTCAGGAATATCAGACGTGCTCTTACAGAGAATTTAAAATCACTAACACTTTTTAAAAAATATAGCAAACATAACATTTTATGGTGGCTTTAGTTATTCCCACCCATTTTTTTTAAAGATTTATCTGATTATCTGTATATCATGAAATATTTATTTTCTTTCTAAATAATGCCTGAAATGAAAACATATGTATGAAAACATAAAAAAAAAAAATCTAGTATTCTCACAGCTGCTCTTATACAGTGTTTATAGGTTTTTTTTTCATTTCATTACTTCTTTCCTTACTTCACAGGTACCTCTGGAAAGTAAATACACGGTATAGCCTTATAGCTTTGACTGTGAATATCTCACACTCACTTTGTATGAGAGTAAATAAATAAGAAGTCACTAAAAGACCTCTTGAAAGTAAACCCCATGTCATTTCTGAGCTAAAGAGATGAACTTGACTTTTTGATAGTGATTTAATGACAATTAATAGAGTCTTTCCTTTAAAATTTTCAATTGTCTAATGCCATGAAAATTTAGATGTATATCTGTTTGAACTACATTCACAAAAATTCCTATGAATGCTAATGAAATACAGTAATGAACCACCATTCTTTCATGTTAATACTTTTGCTTAGAGTGGTGTATAAACACCCTGAATTAAGCTACAAAACACACATAGGAATTAAGCATTATTATTCCTGGCATACAAATAAGGGAACAGGCACTGCAAGATTGGTTTGCAGAGTTTTATATGCAGGTTTCATTCCAGAAAGGTGTTATGGCAAGTAGTGGGATTTAAACATGTGCTTAAAATTTAAGATGCCCTGAACACCTCCCCAACTGAGTCCTAGGTGTGTGTCGATGACAAAGCTCCAACACAAAATTTTGGCTGCCAGCCTTGAGCTCCCAGCCATTTGTGCAACAAAGGTAAAGCACTGGCTTAGCATCTGCGTATGGTAAGCACAGATATCGTTCAGGAGACAGTAAAAAGCATGAAAGGATAAAGTGTGGCTTATAAAAGTAAGCACCATAGCTTCTCCTTGGTCTTGAAAAACAGTAATTCAGTTTTCATCCAAAATCGTGTTCTCTCTCTCTGTTCTACATTTGTCTCCCTATTCTTCCCCTTTCTTTTATTCTCTTTAAAAGCTGCTAACATCAGCTGCTTCTTTGTGGATTTTTCTTTTTGCTTCATTGCCTACAAATTGCTCTAAGCTCTTCATTCCCTATGAACCTGTTCAGCTGGAGGAGAACAGCTGTACAGCAGGCTGCTCCTAGTACACCTCTGGAAAATGTATAGCAAAATGTTAACAAGACACACATACCAAAGTTTTTTGCCTTCTGAAGATTTGAGTGGCGATATATATTTACATATATTTAAACCTGCATGCATCTAAGCAAATGTACAATTGGGAAAGATAAATAATCATTAAAATACTAGGTACATTTCTCCAGAAAGCAAAGTCTAAAACCCTCAGTCTCTGATTTACATCCCCCAGGGTGTTGGAGGATGTCTAACCATGACAACTGGAGTGGAAAAACACTGTGTGTCAGCACACGAAGGCCTGATTGCTATAAAACAAATGTCTTTTTAGTTCCTTGCTGCCTTAATCCTCTCCCTCACACAAGAAAAACATTTACTCAACTGACTCTCATTCTTCAACTTCTTACTTATGTTCCAAAGATAATGAGCTCCAGTATACACTTCACTTCAAAAGACAGATATATTTTCAGAAAAAAGCATGGTTGTTTCGTTTTTCTGGTTTTATTGAAGTAATCAAAAATATTAAGATGAGAATCTTGATTACAAGTCTCTAAATAAAGGACAAACTTCTGCAGAGTATGAGAGTGAATATGTGGAGAGGAATAGATTTGAGTTTTGTTTGAAATTCTCCAAAAGGATGTTTCTACCTGAAGAGAATCAACCCTGAGTTTCTGATCAAAAACTCAAAGAAGGAGATAGCAAATTTTCTACTGACTTGTGTTATGTCTAAAGAATGGGATTCCTTTTCCCCAGACACCCACCTGCTGCTTCAAACACATAACACACACAAGATAAATCATCATTTCCAACGGTGATGTTACTGCTGTGCTTTACAGGTCTACATGAAAATGCTAGATAAAACAAGCTATATTAAAGGCATAACACCAATGACTGTGGTGGTGCTCTTAGTTTGCTTGAGAGGAGATAGTTTAAAATTTTCCAGATGTTTAAATATCTTCTTACATACTTCCTTAATGAAAGCTTTAGTTAGAACAATGGAAGCCTAAGTTATAACAGTATCATAATGGCCTTAGAAAATTTGGCAGTAAAAGAAGCATCTTGGTTTTGTTTTTTTGTTTAAACAACTTTGTCTTGGAGAAGCAAACATGAGAGTAACTACAATGAAAGACCACAAACAACATAGAAATTATTCAATTCTGATCTTTCAGCAATAACATAATACAGTTTTTTGAGCCCTTTTCTTCCCTTTCTTCTTGTTTTCCATTTGCTTCTGTAGTTTTGAGGCAGTGCTCCCCCATTGGCATCTCCAGGCTGCCAAGGACAAGGCGAAGGAAATGGAGACATTTACACCCTCCTCCCCATACTAACTGGTTGCCCTTCATCCTGACATCAAAAAACCTCAAACAGGACACTTCTGAGACATGTATGGGACCTAAATTAGCCTGGAGGCTCTGAGGAAGGTGAAGCATTATTTATTCTATGACTTGAAACTAGAGTATTTGGAGGTCCCAATACACCTGGCAGACCCTAGTTCTAGGATCTAGATCTCTAGACTTCTCCCTGGCCAAAGTGTTCTTGGGTCTCTGAAGAACTCCACAAACCCCTGCTGATTCTTGTCTGAAATGTCTAATGATGTTAGGATACTTGAAGAATCATAAAAGTCTCAAATAGCATTAAAAATTTTTGGTATAGCCCAACAGAACTGGAAAACACAGCATTTCTAAAGTTGATGTTATCCAGCACTCACCCATAGAAGATTACACTACAGTCTGAAAATCAAATAAAAGCCCAGAGAAAACCCCTGATAAAACACCAAATAATAACTGTGGGATGGCTCATTAACCTCCAAAGTTCCTAAGAGGTTGTAGATCTCTGAAACGTTTGTCCTTCTGCAATGCCTGCAAGCCCAATATGACAATTAATGAGTCCTCCGTATCAACACACAAACAAAGAAATGTTCTCTCATTTAGGACAGAATCATCTAGCTGTCTATTTACCGCTCTGAAAATACAGTTACGACAGAGACTAAACTGCAACTTTACAGAACAGTGTTCCCTTTCAGTAAAATTAATAAGGCCACCAACTTTTTAACAGTTTAAAAATTATGCTTTTATGCAGTAGAGAGAAAAAACTTATAAATTAAATTTATTCTAGGATCCATTTTTATCACTATTTTCTCCAAGAAAAGTAAAATCAATAAGAGGAAGAATTTTTTCATGTGCTCAGCAGATCTTAACACTTCAAAGAACTGAGGTTTACTTCACTGAATTCTAGCTCATGACAAGAAGATCTTCTTAAGATGATGAATTATGCACAGATAATTCCAGACATAGCATGTTCAATATCTACTGTAACAGTAATTTTACATACACTTTGGTTTATTTCTTCCTTAGAATTATGTTGGAAAGTTACAATATCAAACCGAGACAAAAAAAAATGCAAAAGACTCTAAAAGCAAAGAAAACAATCTGATATGTTAAAAAAAAAAAATCTATTGGAAAGTAACTGCTGTGGGAATCAGTGTTAGATGAGCACCTAGTGAGTGTAGGTGTAGAAGGGTTGCAGTCATTTCAGTCCTTCTCAAAAATACTGAGCAAGTGTTGTGGTCCCAATACTGTGGTCTAGATGGGTTCTTACTAATTTCCAGAATCAAGCTAAACCACTCTCTAAAGCTGCCTCTCTCTAAATATGGCCCAAAAGAACCAAAGAACTGGTTGGGTTTATTTCATTATTTCATTTTCTTTGTAAAAATCTGGTCATAATAACCATCCTCAAGATTGCATTATCAAGAACAGTTTACTCCACAAAACAAAATGGAAGGTTTGTGTTGTAGTTTTTCATAGATTTTTTGCTCTTATCTTCAACAACTTTCTTTTTAAAAGTGAAAAATTCAAAACTAGAAGTAACTTGATATATTCGTGCATACAAAATCAATATTAATAATATCTAGAACTTAAGGTTGATAAACAGCTAGAGTAAGACAGGAAAATGTAATTTTATAATGGAGGAAAATTGGTTATTGAAATTAATGTGTCTGAGTCAGAGAACAATGTTTACACATGTACTGTGGTGCATACTGGACAGTTGCTTATCCCTTGAAAATCTTAGGTTTTATCTTGACTGCAAAGTAATTGTCGCATCAAGTTCTACTGCAAGAATTAGGTTGACTCTAAAACATGCTTGTAAGAGACGGTCCGAAGATTCCCTCATCTGTCTCACAACCGTCTCAAGGACAGAGACTGAGACCCTGAATATCACAAGGGACTTGGTTTGGGGATTTGGGCCTAGCTGAGATGGATGTTTGCTAAGTGATTGTTTGCAGGTGGTTGCATGGTACACTGCTCTCGTTCCTGCTGGTGAGCAGAGGCTTGGTAACCTGCGCAACAGGTTTTCCACGACTCATGGCTCTCATTCCTGCTGGTGAGCAGAGGTTTGTGCGTAGTACCCTGTGCAATGGGTTTTCCACAACACCTTGCCCTCGTTCCTGCTGATGAGGAAAGACTTGCACGACATGGATCACTCTGTACCCTACACCTGCTCCCCACGCAATGGAATTCATCACAATGATCATCAATCTCATCTGGTTTTGGCCCTGCGCCCCTTGCTTTGCAAAGGACTATAAAATTATACCCCAAACTTACCTTCCTTTGAGATCTCCCCAACGGACAGAAGACTCTGCGTCGTTGGACGGCTGAGTGGACTTTGACGTTGGTAGCTATAATCCCCTTACTCTCTTTTCCTTATGCTTTGCTTTCTCCTCTTTTCTCTCTATCGCATATTAGTGCTGATGAGCACTCAATAAAGTGTGTTTTGTTGTTTAAGTCCTTGGTTTGCTGATAATCTTTTGTACTCTAAGACCGACTAAAAGAACCACATCACAAATCCCACCTTGCGGATCGTGACAATGCTTTCTGCACCAGGTTTCAGCATTAGCTAAATTTTACCTATTTGCACAAACCTGCAATTTAATCAACAGATAAATGCAAAAGTTTAATTGGTAATGACACACAGCCTAATAAAGACACATGCAAGGTTTATGAAGAATGGAGGACGTGCAAAAGTCTTCTCCTGCTACACTGTCCCCAAATAAACAATGAAATCTCTGACTTTATTTAGGTAGGTTAATTTCAGTTATAAGGCTGATAGGACTCTTGCCTCTACTCACTTCTAAGATTTAGTGGAAAGATTATACATTGTCTGGAAGATGGCAAAATAATTGTGTAAATATGACACCAATGGAAGGCTTAATACAGTATGTTTTCTGAAATATGAAGTCACAAAGTGAAACAGTTATTAGTAGCTTGGGGTTTTGTTTTGTATTTGTTTTTTATTGTGGGTTTGTTTTTGGTTTTTTTTGCTTTGTTTGCCTGTAATTGTATGCTAGTCAAAACAGCATTTAATTAATAGAATGATGAAAGCTACATCCTACATACTCTAGCATATGTTGTCAGCTCTTTCAGGTTTAGCTTGGGGAGACTGATTTCATCCTTGTGCTATGTGGGGCTGTGATAAGTTACTATTATCTATGCTCAGAATTACCTGTCTGATGATGCTAACAAACAGAATGGATTTTAGGTGCCCAAGGCTGTAACAGCATTTCACTGGTTCCACTTGCTGTGCTGCCTACAGCACATTAGCACCTGACATACCCAACCCAGCAACAGCAAGCAGTTCATGGGATTCAAACAACAAAATTTTAAAAATAAATAAATAAAGCTCTGTCTGCTGGCAATAACCTTATGCTATTTAGATATTGCCAACTTAAAGGTATTTTTCAAATCTTGGATTGCATTTACAGTTGCTCTAAAATCTTACATTTTCTATTCCTCAGAAAATACTGCAGCTACATTTAAATCTATTAAAATCTCACTAATAATTCAGGTATCTTTGCCATAATGTTTAGTTATCACAGATTTAGCAAAATATCTACCAGTGCTTACAGTACAGTAACAGCTTTGGCATCACTGACAATCTGTATTACATTACAAAATTACAACAAGTAATTTTTTTTTCTAAGTTGTCTGGTTACAATACATATAGCAGAGCATTTTAAGAGAATATCTGATGTTCTATGTCCTTTTATTTACAATATATATACAATACAAGCATTGAGACAATATATATTCTTCAGGATGAATTTAAGTTGAAAGATTCAACTTAACTCCTAGATTTTCTTTCACAGATTTTGATCAAGATTTCTAGATTTCTTTGCTATACAAACACAGCAAAGCCAAATCTCTCCTACAGATCAGGAGCCATTCTTTAAGTTCTCTAATGCAGGTTTAATATATTTTTAGCCCTGTAAATCTCAGTCTCCTGCAACCAGGTAGCTTCTCCTTCCTGTGACTAACAGTAAATATCAGTAGTAGAAGATAGTATCTACCATCACATTCAACACTTGTCCCACCTGAAGAAAAAGGTATATCCAGAACTATATTTTCTTGTTTGTCAACATTCCCATTCTTTGGCTCATTGGTAGCCTGCAAATTGCACATAAAAATGGTAAAACCTTATTCCACTTCAGATGCTTGAGAAAATTTTAAAGACTCAGTGAAAATTCCCTATCTTTAAACCATCTTCAGCCATTCCCATGTGTCCTCCCAGGGAGAATATCTGCTAAGCATTAATTTTTTAAAATTGCACCAGGATTACACCTACTGGGATCATATTAAAAAAAAAAATAAAAAAAAATCAGCAAGTCAAAGGGAAAAAGTCCAAGAAGTCCAAATTAATTCTGAAAGAGGTAAGATTGTGATGTTAATGTTCTTATTAGAATAATTTTAATGTGTCCATGTTAATATCATGCTTTATAATACTTTCACATCTCATGGTAGAATAGGCAAGACTGAAAATTTCTAAATGCAATAAAGCTATTCCAGAATATCAAAGGTCCCCTTTTAGTAGACTAGAGAATCAGGAACATTTCCACCATAAAATCCTCTGACTGACTGATGATGCCAAAATGATTTCCAATTGCTAAAGTGTTCACTTCCATTATGTGTGAATAATGAGGGGCTGAATGTGTCACTCAGCAAACAAAACTGTCAAGTCTCTTCAGTTTGACTTTTCCTGGTTTAGGCTTGAATGCTATTTTTTTTCTTTTTTTCTTTTTCTTCATTTATTTATTGGTATAAGACATTCCAGGAATACCAGCAATTCAACTTTTGGCATGAACATGAATACAGGAAGGTAAATGAAAAAAAAAAATTCCCTTCTGTGGAAATTTAAACTGGCCTACTGGGAGGACAAAACATAATTAAAAGATCTACATCCTGCACTAATCAAACTGAATCTATTCAAAGTGACTAAGAGAAGGACAAAGAAAAGTGTTATTGTGCTATTCAACAGAGGAAAAAAAGTTACTAACAGATGTGAAGGCCAAAGCATTTAATGTCTTCTTTGCATTACTTTTAATTAAAAAGGTCAGCAATG